TCTGAGCCTGGTGGTCATTGTTTCGAATCCCCATTAGCAGGGTTTCCAGAAACGTTTTGTCCGCTTTGGCTCCTTAAGCCATCAGCAAGAATAATTAGGGGCAGAAGTATCCCGCCCTCTCCCCCCCCCCCATACGTATGTCTCTGTCCGAAATGGTTGGCATAATTTGGAATAATAGGTTTGTTTACGCCGTTCAACATTATGGGATAGTACAGACATTATTACTGACTTTTATCATACGGAATCTCACTTATTTTAACCTAAAACTAAACAGAAAGAAAGATGATAGGAAGTGCACGTTTTCTTTTATCCGCGCAAATAAAATGATATTCTAATGTAAGAAATCCACCAATATATATATATATATATATAGCCAAAAGATTTACAAAAACTCCCTGAAAAAGTAACATCTATGTGGAACATACTGGGGAGCAAGTACACATACATATATTCTTGTGGGCACTAGATCGTGTGTAAGCGTTTTATGGAAACTTCAGGGCAAAGAGAGCGAATTTCCGTTTAACTGAGCAGCCTTCCATTACTCTAGTCCAACTTTTTAATAGCTGTCATATTCACATACGTAAAATCAGTCCTAGGAGCCATCTTACTCTCTAATTAGACAGTATCGGCTATGAAAATAAACATCAGAATGCTGTCCAGAAAGACAGAACTATTCCAGCAGTGAATTTCAGCCCATTATGGTTCTACAGAAATAGAAAGGCAGAGATTGCGAAGGCTACATACAGGAACTCTTATGTAGCGCTATCAGTCTCAGAACTTTCAAACGATAAAGACGCTCTAAAACAATCTTTCGTGTTCAAATGGGGAGAAGACTACATAAACTATAGACCATAACCTGATGTAAGGCAAGGAAAGAAGGGCGACGCAAAACAAAACTCTCATTATATCATTCTTGTGTTTGAGTACAGAAGGTATATTTCAAGGCAAGGAATAAAGTTGAGAACATGGTGACAACGAACAATATTTATAGAAAGGGTATAGGGTGAAAGCAAAGGGATAAATAAATACACATGCACGGGGCAGGTAAAGAGCACCCACACGATCCATGATTTTGTTGATCGTGTAGGATTGCGAATTATGACAACCTATGCTTTCCGGCGTGGTTTATGATGATGATGCTTTCCGGGATAATGAAAAGGGCGGCGGGGACGGGGGGGGGGGGGGGGGGCAAAGGCGCTGGCTAACTTAATTTTTTTTTTTCACTGAAAAGTTGGTAGTGGGCCAAACAAGTTTGGTAAACACTGCTCAAGCCAGTCATCCAGTCCCATATGATTTCATAGTCAATGTATCTTTAATATGTTTTTTACATGTTCGCGGAAGTCGGATTAAGATTCGTTTTCCGAAAACTTTTTATATTCTCTATCACACTTTTGAGGCAACCATGACATGACCAGTTTGTGCACTTTTTTCAGACGTGTTGGTCCAAATCGTGTTTAACTATAATCCAGGTCATCATACGTGTTGCATTAAGCCATCTTGTATCATAGTTCTGCTATTTAATCTAGTTAATATTTTAAATTCTTAGTCGCAAGCATACACACTTCAAGAAAGAAGTGACATAATACAGTGAGGAGTCGAAAGCGTTAGTAAACATGTGAGACAAAAAATAATCTTAAGATATATATATATATATATATATATATATATATATATATATATATATATATATATATATATATATCTTAAGATTATTTTTTATTTCTATTTATATATATATTTATATATATATATATATATATATATATAAAACGAGTTGCAGCCTGGCTGGCTAGCACAGTTGGCTAAACCTGACTGCGTGGCGACTGGGTGACGAACTTCTTATGGTCAAACAATGTCCGGTGGTACACAGAAAAGCCACATTTCTCCCAGATTTACGGTATCTATCGCGGAATCAAGGCCGAAGGGTTGCGATATTCATAGTACCGAGCCAAAGGGTTAACAAACTATGGTTTCTGGATTATAAAACAAAAACTGAGTTGCAACAACCACTCTCCTAACCCCTCTTAGTTGATTCGCTTGAAATCGACACATTCATCCCGGCATGACTCAAAACAGAGAAATTAGCATCACCTGCTGCGCAGACCAACAGCAACGCTAACAGCATCCTTTAGACACGCCCTCGCGTTGTTTCCCCCAGGGAGGCAGAAAAACGTAATGTTTCAATTAACTAGATTAGTTTTGTAGTTTCGGTTAGTTCGTAATTTCAGCGTTTAATGTTTACAATTAATCATCCGTTTTAATGCAGTGCAATGCTCAATGAGAAATTATGCACAAGTTGTGTTGTTTGTGAGAGCTGCGCTGAATGTTTAATTAGGCAGTACGTGATTTGAAGCTTTTATTCATGCCTCGTTCCTTTTTCCATTTGTTTCGTCGACTATAACGGTAATGTTGGTTTGTTTTATTCAGCGGTGCTCTAAGTAATACGTACTTAGCAATGTCAGTTATTTAACGTTTCTGGTGTCGGTGTTTGTACAGTCTGTGTCAGGGAGTATCATCTTCATTGTGGCATACCTGTAAGCGTGGGCGCAGATAATTATGTTTAGCAATCTCAAGCTACTTCTAGATGTTTAGATCAGGTCTGTGTTCTTTTCATATTGTGTACTTTATCCCCCCCCCCCTTTTTTTTTTCCCAAAGAAAAGCTGCAAGATTTGCGTCATCTTTTTTTTTTTTCGCGCTTCTAGTTGATAAGCCTGTAACTTGACACATAAATTATAGTTTATCTTTCCTTATACCAGTAATGTTTATTTTTCTTCTGCATTCTCTTTTCGTGGAGAGTGGCATGCTTCGCTTCGGTGGTGACAGGGGCGGAGCATTGTCTGGATCTTTTCTCCGGCAAATGTGGGTGTGTTGGGAAATGAGCAGGCGGACAGACTGGCTGGATTTGCACAATTTGGTGGAATATTGACCCATGATAAGGCAGACGTGGTTAGGGCATTGTGAGAAAGCTTTCAATTCGGAGAAGCACATGGATCAGCACAGTCTGGTGAAAGTGATCCGGCGGGGAGTGACGAGGAGATCTGGCCGATACTCGACGCCCTGAGGAAAGGCAAGATTTCGGTATAATCACAATGCTACTGCCACCACTGATATTGGAACTCTACGACGGCTGCCGAAGATGGGGACGGAGCGCTTATGGGAATGCCCTGAGTGATTTTGGTTCATGAATCAACTCAGCCCAACTCAGGGCTGTTGGCACATGGCAATAAGGTAAACAACTAGGCTGCCTTATCTGTGCCTTAAGACCTAAACATACTTCAGCATACCCTTAATTAGTCGTTTTACGGACCTACTTATCAGGGATCAGCTGGTCTAGTTTTCCCTGCCCTAAAATAGGGCACCTACACAAACTCGGGGATGTAAATTGTCAGCTAGATGTTGGATTTACTTTAGTTTCTTCTTGCGCTTTGTTAAGTGAATGTACAATTTGTCTTGAAATATTCTAGTTTGTGGACGCAGCGTTAAAATAGTGGCTATATGCTCACATTCTCCTTTATCTTCTTCAGTATTCCGATCCCTTGAGGTTCATTGCTGCAGATATCACTCGCCTCCATTCGTATCCCTATTTGGACCTCTCTTTCCAGTTAGTGACACCAAGTGTCTGAATAGTATCTATCCATCGTCTTCTTGGTCTGCCTCGTGGTCCACGACCATTTATTTCACTGGTGTATACAGTTTGTTTACTTATCTGTAATCTGCCATTTTTTCAGTATGTCCCAACCATTTAAGTCTATTAGCTTTCTTGATGCCAGTGATCAGTGGTGAATTATTTACTCACCTGCCAGTCCGCACTTGTGGTTTAAGGCCGCTTCGGCTTCCTTGTTGGCACGGCCTAAACTGAATACCAAACAAATTGTCTCTCTTCATAGAAGTCGGCGTTATGCAGTTGATCTCCCTCAAGTATATGTGATAATGTTGGCATTTCTCAGATTACGTTTGAATATATTTTTATCGGCTGCAGTGTCTTAGACGTTGCAAACGCTGTTCGTAATGGCGGGGTGCCAGGTTCGATCCCAGCTGCGGGCCCTGCGTCTTGTGTTGGTTTCAACAGTGGTATCGAGAAGCTGTCCCTCCAGAAAACAATAGGCTACCATGCCGACACAGCCTCACGTCTGAACCATGTAATGTCCTGGGAAGTAAAGACAGCCCGGAGCGATGTTAACCAGATCTTCAGCTAAGGATCAATCCTCAAAATATGAACCCAGAATTAGACACCCGATACTTCACAGACGTAAAGAAGATCTTTTACTTTTCCTACTACTTCTTCTTCTCTTTCACCTTTTACCTCATCGAAGTGTCGGGGGGAGATGTAATGTTCGTTGATGAGCTCTGTCAAGAGCACTATTAAGACTGATGTTCATTTCTGGAAGGCTGTTCTTAATGCCATCACTCCATATTTTCCGAGGTCTTCCACTCGCTCTATACCCGTTGTAACGTTTTAGTGTGGCTCGCTGTGGCGGATAGTACCAGGGCATTCTTGTTAGGTGTCCAAACCACTTCATTTGTTGTTCTTTGATGACCTGTAAGACTGGCTTTATTCCTAGCATTCGTATGATTTCATGATTTCGTATTCTGTCTTTCCTTGAAACTCCTGCAGCTCTTCTAAGGCATTTCATCTCTGTTGTCACAATTTTACGTTCATTGGAGGATGTAAGTGTCCACGTTTGGCATTGATAGCATAGTGTTGGCCAAAGAATAGTTCTGATAAGATTCACTTTAGTACTGCGAGGTATCTGCTTGTGTGTCAACATTGAAGATAGTTGACCCATTACTTGATTAGCTTTGGCACATCTGGAGCTAATTTCTCTGTCCAGTTAGTACTCAATATCTAGATATGTCCAGAGATGTCACACACTTTCACTCTATCAAACCACCTGGTGGCGATAACATTAAGAAACTGTGTCCAAAGATATTATTTTAAATATAACATGTCCGTCAAGGTAAATTATTATTTAAAAAATAAAATGTTTTATCGTCTTAGGTTTGGTTCCAGAATAGAAGAGCTAAATGGAGAAAAACCGAAAAGACATGGGGTCGAAGCTCTATCATGGCGGAGTACGGACTGTACGGAGCTATGGTCAGACATTCACTACCACTTCCAGAAACAATAGTGAAAAGTGCCAAGGAAGGAGTTCTTGAATCGTCGGCACCATGGCTTCTCAGTAAGTGGCACGTTCGTTGATGTTTTATTTAACTCCCTCAGTCCCAGAATGATATCACAAATAATAATGACGACACCAAACTCATGGGTAAAATACCTCCACGGTGACCAAATACTCAACGCTTTTAAGAAATAAACATGGTGTTAAAGGTCTTTAGTTGGTAGACTAGCTCCCCGTGTGGGTTCCATGGCCCTATTATAGGGAAAACAAGAATAGACCCACTGCCTACCCAAAAGCATGTCGTAAGGGTGGACTAATTGGGAGCTTCCTTCGATGTCGGAATGTATCTGCCTGAGAGGCAAGGAACCAGCAGTCTGCATACAAATGAGTCAGATCTGTAAAACGGATGCACACGCAACACTCAGATTCTGGAACAGGACTGCAGTCCAGAGGTGGACGAACAACCGTAACTTTTCACCAGAGTTTATAGCTGGTGAACGCGAAAAAGAAAAAGAAGAAGAAGAAGAAGTAGATTAGTGAAAGATTAGTTGGAAGGTTGGGAGATGTGGTTTTATAGACGAATAATGAGAATGGTCTATACAAATAAAAAAAAAAAAAAATAAATAAAAAGGATAAATAATGAGGACGTCTTGCAAAAACCTGATTTCCAACATGAGAAAGATGCAATCTACATGCCCTGGTAATGTGATAAGAAGGAGAAAAATTGTGTACATTGTGACAGTACGAATGTTGAGGGAAGGAAAGACAGAGGGAGACCGAGAGAAAAGATGCTGGACAGTTTGACATGGTGGCCTGGATGATCATCTGTGTCAGAGTGGATTTCAAGTAAACCAGACAGAAGGATGTGAATAGACATGACTACCAACGCCACACGGCACGGACTTTAAAAAGAATAAAGGTCTCTATTACTCGTGACCAATTAGAAGTTGTAAACACACACATAACATGTTTACCGGTGTGTAAAGATGAAGGTAAAGTCAGGAGATGTGAACCAGCGTCATTGCACACGGTTATAAACCATAAGTGCTCTGCCACCAGTACCGACATCTGATAAGAATTGTCCGCCTGTTTCGCCGTTCGCGCGTAGCTCTGTAGCTACAGCGACGTTCCTCCATTTACCCCTGGATTTGAAAGCGAGCCGGTTATCAACTGTGCTAACGGTATATATTAATTCTATATAATTATACGTGGTGTGTTCCTTGGTACTGAAGGCGTTAAAACATAAGTATTGTTATCACATTATTTAAAAATACATCCAAAGGATGGTTTTCTGTAGACAAAAGCATTGAGCTGATTGTGATGTCGGCTTCCATCACTACCTCACGTAGACACATTTTGGTTTTATTATCCTTTTCTTTGTCTAAAATAGAGGACTAGACATAGCAGAATGTTAAGCTTCGAATTTATTTTTGTTCCTGCCAGTGCTTTGTTAACAGTTCCCATACATGGATGGCAGTCTACGGTTTCACTGCCTGGGCTACTGAGTTTAGTGTTTTGTGCAGTCATGGGTTTTCATTCGGAATGGCTTTCATTTGTTCATCGGTTGGTTCTTGCTATTCAATATGACCGGTGGCCGGTTTACGAGTGGGCTGGTGAAATACTCTGTGTAATAATTCTACGTGTGTATAGCCAACTTATCGTGCCCGACAACTTCCATCAACGCCAGACTGCATTTATGGTGGCGACTGTTGGCATTGGCGCCTCTAGCAACTGTCACATGCATTTACTGCGTGCGTATATTTCTCTCTTGTGCCAGGACTAAATGTTTCTTCATCAATTTTTAAATGGGACAGTGCCGGGCATTTTAGTTGTTTTTTCCTGGCACACGAACTGAGCTAGTATTAGTTGACCCGATTCCAATGATGTTGAAACCTCGACTAAGACCAAGACCCTACAACCACCTACTAAACAAACTAACCAGACTCGCTAGTTGCCAGATAATTCATTTAAGGACATCCAAAACCAACTGAATTATTAAATGTGGGTTGCCTGTTTGGATTACAGACCCCATTTTCTTTGGGGGAAGGAAGAGAGAGCGCGACAGAGAGAGAGAGAGAGGGAGAGAGAGAGAGAGAGAGAGAGAGAGAGAGAGAGAGAGAGAGAGAGAGAGAGAGAGAACAGATCTACTACCCATTAAAAAGCATGTCGTAAAAGGCGACTAATTATGGTTGTTTCCTATGAAGTAGGAGTGCCTCTGCCCGAAAGACCAGTTATCAACAGACTGCATATACATGAGCCACATTTGTGTACCGGATGTATATGGAAAGTTGAGTCGTGGAATAAGAGTAAAGTTCGGAAGTGGATGAACAACCAAAGCGTTCCGCCGGAGTTTACAGCTCAAGAGAGCCACGAAGAAGAAGAAATGAGTATAACACTGCCTGTCAAGCAGTGGACTGAGTAACCTCTCAAGTGACATCTTATAAAAATTATTTCATTCAAATGGGTCATGGTTTCTGGTTGAAGGAAAAGAATATTTTAATCATGATTAACACAATAGTGTCGATAACAATTCCGAGAAAGGGGGCAGGAAACTGGATAAATTATATAAAGGCTTCAGGTACTTGCCAGAATTATCAGAAGTAGTGGGAAGGGAGATGTTCGCTATTACCAAGTGAAACTATACAACAGATAATGCAGACTCATATAATGGAACAGTGGTTAAGCAGTTTGGCTTGCGCTTTAGAGGTCGTGTGGTCCTTTTACAGACTAAGGTCTTCTCTTCACTAGTGTGATTTTTCACAGATTCCTTGGGATGGTCGCTGGAGCTATTGCGATACTCTTAGCCAGAAGCTTGTCTTCCCAGGCAGATCCGACGAAATGAGATAAGAACTTGAGCAGTCAAGTAGATATTATGGGCTTCAAACAGTATATTTTAAATAAAACAACTTGGTTTTTACGATTCAAGAACTTTACACACGTGTTTTTGATTTTCATTTGAGCATACTTTCACATATGTTTCTGGTTCTCGAAGTATAGGGTGAACAAAATTCAAATGAATGTACTGGTATATTGGCTTTATACTGTACAGTATAATGTATTAAGTTCACAATGAACAAGCACCTAGAAAATCGAACTGAGTCTCTGGAGATGTGGGTATACAAAAGAATATGAAGGTTGTGGAAAGGCTACAAATGAAAAGAGAATTACTCAATGAAAAAAAAAATGAAAAAAACAAAACAAAAACAAGAGGCAGTTGAAATACTTCGGCCACATTAAAAGACGTCGAGGGGAGGGGGGGGGGGGGCGGATCAAGAGAGCAGACTGAGAGAGTGTACAATCAAGAGAAGAGATAGGGCATGTTGGAGATTTATTGTGCCAACCTTCACTGTGGAGATGGAACCTGACTGGTTGAAAATGTGTACTATAACTTCCTATAATGTAATAATACATTATACGATAATTTGATGGTCACAGGCTGTGCTCAGGGCGAACAGTACGAGAGATATATCCTCCTCTTATACTTCATCTGTTTTTTGACTTGTGTACAGCTTTCCATCATGAAAAGTAATGTGTATACAGTTTTTACTTCTCTGTCATCTGACATTCTTTCATTATGCTCCAACCATTTCAGTCTATAAGCTCTCATGATGCCAGTGATCAGTGGTGATTTAAACAGATTATGAATTTCGTTGTTGCTCCTTACTCTCCATTCCCCGCTCTTATCATCTTTGATGGGTCCAAAGATTTGTCGTAAGACTGTTGTCGAAAACCTGTAATAAGGCTTCATCTCTTTTAGCTGTGCTTCTAGTTTCAGAGCCATTTAAAATGCCTGGTCTCTTATCAAAGTTTGATATATTTTGATCTTGGTGTTACGAGACAGACACTTTGACTTTAACAGATGTTGAAGGACATAGTATACATTATTTCCAGTTTGTGGTGGATAACGACGAAGCTCGTGAAATGTCACTAATGTGTGGCCTGAGGGTAAAGTGGAGCCGAGGTCGAGGTGAAGATAGGCAACCTTATAGCTTTCTTCTCATGGGACAATCTGGAGAGGAAACATGGAGCGGCTGCTACATTTGAGTAATGAAAGCGGATACCAAAAAAAAAAGCAAATATCCTTTTTCACGCCTTCGGGCGTATCGGGTATATGGGAAGAGTGCCAATATTTTTGCAGACCATCGCCACTGGAAGGGTAATGTGGTCAGCATTACGCCGGCCGTCTTTACTTTCCTAGGACAGCCATCCGGGCATCCAATTTAGGCTGTGTCGACCTGCGACGCCCTATACCATGATAAAAATCAACGCAGCTAGCAGTGGGTTTCGATCGCGGTACGTTGGAATTACGAGCCGGACTCGCAACGCCTAAGCATCGGACGCCGCACTGAACACTGATGGGAATGCAAAATCTGCAATGACGTAGACTTTTTTTTCTTCTTCTTCACTTCCTCTTTTACGGCTGTGGGTGTCGAGGGAGATATAAGTTTCTGTTGCTAGCTCTTCTGGCTGCCTCGACCATAGCACATCGTGCTGTTGTAGAGTTTCTCTGATGTTATCCTTCCATCTTGTTCTTGGTCTACCCCGTGCTCTACGTCCTTCTTCTCTTTCCAAGTATGCTTTGTATGGTATGGTGTCACAAGGCATTCTCTCTAAGTGGGCAAACCATTTCACTTGCTGTCTTTGTATGTAATCCAGAATTGGTTCTGTGCCGACGTAGACTGTGATATAATTTATGATGCATTTAGGCAATGACATGTGTATATATTGATTGTTTACCAGTATGCTGAGATTGTAGCTAAACAGAAAGTGAAGTCATCGTTGTATGTGTTTTAATTGCCGTCATTTATGTGTTTTATATTTATACTTGCAGGCATGTATCGCAAATCAGTGGAGGGAAATGGCCAAAAGCCAAGTGATAAAAACAGCCAGTCCACAGATCCTGCCTGTGTTTCAGGAGATGAGCAAGGGCATGAAGACAGTGGCAACAGGAACCCTGAAGATTTGAGATCTGAAAGTATAGCTGCCTTGAGGGCCCGAGCACAAGAGTACACTGCCAAAAACTTTGCAGTGACTTCTAACCATGGAGACGAGACTATGGACAGTGATTTGATGGACTCTGATGATGAAAACAGCTGTGATTCTACACCACGACATCCATCTGATGTGGACGATGAAAATGGAATGGATGTTGGTTTATCATCGGTAAAGTTAACTCCAGCAACATTGAAAGATCAGAATAGACATACTTCGTCAAGTAAAGGATTTGAAACAAGGAAAATTCAAGCTAATAAAGAAGGTAACCAAACCAATGCAGAAAGTGCTATCAAAACGCACAGTGCGAAGTCGACCAAAGATCGTGAAAGAGACTCGAAGAATCCAGTACCCATACCATATTCCGCATCAGCACGATATGAGCTAGACACAAATGGACACGTTCTTGTAGATAACTACAGACCCTCTAGCAACGGCAGAAAAAACAACTTACCTATCATTGTTCAGCCAGACCAGCAGCTCATCTCCACTATTAACGCTCAAGGAACCAAATCCATGCTGGCTGCTTTTGGCAATGGATACAACTTTCACCAAACAAATCCTGAGATGAACTCAAATCCATCGAGACAAAATATTATGAACAACGGTTTACTGTCTCCACCTTTCAGCTATCTCAATGGGCATTTTGATTCAGGCGGCCCTAGTAGCTCACACACTTCTGTGAAGACTTTACACCTACCTCTTGGTTATCCCAGTCCAAATTGGGGAAATCCGTTCTCGGAAATGTTCCCAGGAATCACACAGGAGAATATGAAGACTTTCTCCTTCATGAACACTTATGGGTTTGGTCCGTTGGATAAGCCATCATTGAATGTACGATCTTACTTAAACCCTATACACACTAGTCCACGAGTAAATCCTTCGGAAAGCGAGCTTGGGGAGAAGAACGTGTCGATTATTGCTCCAAGTTCGGTGATAGCATTGTAGAATGACCTTTACTCAGTGTATTGGTCTGTTTACAGTTTACTACTTACAGGGAGTAACAAAAATACGTTACTAATCTAGGCCTCATACCAGCCTATGAGTATGTGAAGTGCTGGACTGTGGCCTGATTAGATTGTCATATCCTTGCTCTCAGCTCAATGTTGTTACTATGGACCTAACTTTACGGGTCGCTGCGTTAATTACAAAAAACTGTAAAGTTCATACTAGAGATAACCTTGCAGATATAGATAATGTATTTCAAGCGAACGAGTTGAGCTGAGTCAAGAATTGCAATCACAGCACTCGGGGCATTTCCATACGTGCTCCGTCCTCATCTTCAGCAGCCAGCGCAGAGTTCCAATACCGATGGTACCGGTCAAAATCTGGTTATATGTCAAGCGAACAAAAGAAGAAGCTATAGACCAGTTATCACTCGAGCAGAGTTTGGGTCAGCAATCAACTACATACAGTCAGTGGGAATACCTTAAAACTGTGGACATAATTATAATAAAGAACAATATTAGGTTAAATAAATGTAGGCTTGTCAAAAGAACTAAAGTGTCAAGATCGTTGTAGACGGGTGTTAGAATTTCGAGAGATTCAGAAGAGCTCCACGTCACAGCACCTGTGAACGTGTTATTGCGTAGAGTGTAGAGACAGAACATAAAATTTGCCTGACATCTGTAAACTCGTTCCTGTGATACTTGTGTCTATCAGCATATCTAATGAGAAACATTTTGAGCAACCTTTGGCTGCCAGTGTCAGACATAGATCCTTTCTACAATTAATGACTTTCAAGTTATGAGTGTAATAGTAAAATTCAGTTATGGTTCCATGACAAAATTTTGAGGAAGGAAAAAAGATGTAACAACTGCCACCTTAAAAGCATACTGTACAGGGCGAATAATGAGGGGTTTGCTGAAATCGGATGTGTTAGTCCGAACAATGAAGATATCGTATCCTAGCCAGCCTATCGGAACCACAGTACGGCTGACTGACTTTCTACCCCACCAGGACATCACACAAGCGATAAACACCCGATGACACAAAGTGCCACCATATGGATGAGGATCGCCGTGGAGAGGTCCCAGAAACCGCGTTCAGACATTTGGCCACATTTATGGCCTGCCTATATTGCGGCCCCTGGCAAAAGCCAGGGTGGGGCTTCAAATAACAAAAAATTTCGTCCTAAAAAGGACGAAACTGAATAATAAAACCACAGTACAAAGTGCACCCCATTCTTGCAAATGCGAACTTCGAAGAAGATGATGATAATAATTATTAAATATAATACCATATTTTAAATAATAGAACAAGAATGAGCACATACTTGTAAACAGAATTGTCTATTTATGGTTAGAGGACGACACATAGTAAAGTAACACAATTTTTAGTCAGCAACCTTATCACACCCCCCCCCCCTTTTTTTTACCGCAACAATATCACTAGGGGCCTTAGCTCACACTTCCGGCGTCCCTTATTCAAGTAAATCAAGAGATAAGAGAAGACTGAAGGCCGTGGCTTCAGACGCACTTGAGAAAACATTGTAACAATACATCAAAAATACAACTTAGCAATGGAATCCATGTGGGTCAAAGGAATAAGGGAGCCCCAAAAAAAAAAAATAATAATAAACAGGAATGGCTCTAGAGAATCCTCATTTCACTTCACAGGCAGGCTGTTATAATAAGTATGTGGAGATCAGTTTAAAAGCAAACTGACAACCTAACAAAGATTCCATAATTGTTATGAGCAGTAAAGGTCACTTTTGGTCACTATAAACGTCACGAAAGTTTAGGGAAAACAACAATATAGGAGTATATGACTGGGGGGAAAAAAAGGAAGAGGAAGGCCAAAGAGAAGATGGGTGCAGTATGTGGCGGATTATCTCCAGATGGGTGTATCGGACGCGGTAAATCGTGCTTGTGATCGAGAAGGTTTCCTGAAGGTTGTTATAAGAGCAAGGGCAGACAACTGACTGACTTACTGACTGACTGACTGAAAGGTCACAAGGCGTACATATTGGTCAATACAGTATGATGCGTGTGCAGATTGGTCAATACAGTATGATGCGTGTGCAGATTGGTCAATACAGTATGATGCGCTTACAGACTGGTCAGTACAATATGCACGCGTACAACCTGGTCAATACAATATGATGCGCGTATAGAGAGGTCAATACAATATGATGCGCGTACAGATTGGTCATTGCAATATGATACGCGTTCAGCTTGGTCAATACAATATGATGCTAGCGTCATGTTAGACGTTAGTCGATGTTCAAGGATCACTGCAGACGGGACACTCCATGATTGCTCTGTTCTTGTACTAGTATGAATCACACAAAAATACCATTGTCCCATTCGATAACTAGTCAAACACGCGTCAGTCCCAGCAAAATCCTCAAGCTTGCATAAGCAAGGTAAAAATTAACATGGCTGCTAGAAGTGCCAGCACCAACGTAGCCATATCGGAATCGACGAAGTCATAAAAGAAACCCGGCATTACACCTGCAAAATTACGACTATTTATCATCCCTTCTGCCACATGACATTTAAGTGAAGTCAACAATACCGCCCGGGTACACACACACACACACACACACACACACACACACACACTCACACACGCACACTCAACGCTGACAGTGTCGCATCAAGCACTGAACTAAGTAGTTGGGTGACGAAAACTTTGGACACCTGGTCCAGAACTGGGAAATTGGCATTGGCTAACCACATTTCTGGGGTCAGCAGTCAGCCAGCCATCAGATATCTTGGCTGGAAGACTAGAATTATATATACATCTGCCAAAAAACGTGGACACGAGAAGGAATAGGAAAAAAAAAATAAGGGACCGTTTCGACCCCTTTCCTTGCTTTCAGGGCGTTTTCGACGTATGGCGCTTGATCTACTTTTTTATAGACTAATCGGCACTGAGTGGGTGATGTTGGTAGCATCACGCCGGCCGCGTTTACTTCACATGACTGCACCTGCTACACATTCATGGCTAGGTCGACGTGGGAGACAGAATCATTTATTAAACAAATTTGGCTCCGTAAGTACCCGAACCCACATCCTTCCGATCTGCGGACAAGCGTCTAGCCTCTATGCCATGGCAGCTTTAGCAGTACACCTTAAAATGTCCTTGGTTGAAAATGTGTCATTGAAAACCCATATCACTATTCAATTATCAAATAGCAAAGAAAAGACTAACTAAAACGACAGTCCAATCAGAGAATATTGCCTCTTTCGTTTTAGAAAATTATCTAATATAGAGGTAGTTAGGTAGGTGTACCCCACCAGGACATCACACATGCGATAAACACCCGGTGGCACACAGTGCCACCATGCGGATGAAGATCACCCGTGGAGAGGTCCCTGAAACCCTTTTCAGCCGTTATATCTATGGCTAGGCTATATCTATGCGCCGTCTTTATTCAGGGCCCCCGGCAGAAGCCAGTGTGAGGCTTCCAAAAAAAAATGCATCCTACATGGGGACGACTTTCAAGACTATTTATACTAGTATTGATCAAAAAGACATTGAATAAAAGGTCACAACATGCAATGAACAATCATACCAGAATTATTTTTTTTTTTTTTTACTTTTGGACAAACAGAGCAGCATAAACATTCCCAGAAATAAATGTATCCTGTAAATTTGTATACATACATAAGTCAATGTGTTTTTGAATATCTGCGTAGATGTTTGAGCCTCGGTATGTTTTTGAATGATTACAGATATACATGCATGTGTTGATATCTGTATGACTGCCCCTGTATATATGTATGCATATATAAAACATAACATAACATAACAAAACATAACATAACCCTTGACACATTAGGGTTATAGACGTGTATGGATGGAAGCACTAGTACATACAACCCACCATCTTTCTCTGTCTTCTGATTGATTAATAGGTGTATGCAATCTTAGTCCTGTTCATTTCTTGATGTTGTCATTCTGTAAGACAGACATCAAGTGTCTTTGAACTAATTCTTCCATGCACATAGTTGCGTCTCAAAGTTTCTGTATGACTGCACATTTCCATGCATGAATATGACTATGTTTTCCTGTATGCCAGTATATATTTATACATACATGTTATATGCCTAATTGTTTTACGGTGAATCTTGTTGCTTCGTTTCAGCATGTATATTTTTGCCTCGTTCCCCTATTCACTTGTGATGTTATTTCTTCCCGAGTAGTCTAAATGCAAAGGATGGAAAGGGACAACTGAAAGAAACATACAAAACTTGTAAGATAAGCATGTATATATGTATGTTTATATGTGTGTATGTATGTATGTCTTTCTGTACACAGAGGTGTGTACTCGCTCCTACTCTCTTTGGAATATACTTTTCACTTCTTTTGGCACATGCCTTTTGGGACCTGGAGGGTTGTATAGTCATTCATTCTCGATCTAACGGCAGTCTTTACAATGCTCGCAGGCTGAAGGCCAAAACCAGGATAATAGAGGTACTACTTAACAGAGAGCTGCTGTTTGCAGATGATGCCGCAATAACCACCCAATCAGAGGAGGAGCTGCGATGTTAACTGTCAGCCTTTACTGATGCATTTGGTCTAACAGTTAGCAAAAAGAAGATAAAGGTTATAGTGCAAGGTGTTGATGATAGACCTACAGTCTACTTTGACGGTGAAGAGCTTGAGACAGTAGACCATTTTACCTATCTGGGTTCTACAGTGAATAGTAAACTATCGCTGGACAAAGAAACCAACATCAGGATAGGTAAGGCAACAATGAATTGATTGACAAAGAGAGTTTGGGAGAACAGAAAGCTCACAATTTAAATTTAAACACTTGTCTATCAGGCTTGTGTTCTCATTACTCTGCTTTATGGCAGCGAAACGTGGTCAACCAGGAGAAACGACTTAATAGCTTTTACTTGCGATGCCTAAGAAGAATACTTGGCATTAAGTGGCAGGACAAAATCACAAACACTGAGATACTGGAAAGAGCAGTTACTACAACAGACTTAGTC